TTTCCCAGCTGCCTGGGGGTTGCAGGGTGAAAGCTGCATGCAGATACCTTTGCTGTGAGCAGCTGTGCTACACTGGGCTTCCCAGGCCTCCAAGAGGTTTTGAAAGTAGTCCACGTGCCCCTGTGGTCAGTGGGTTTTTCCAGGTTAGAGGACCATGCTGACCAGCAGCAGGGTTCAGAGGAGCTCACCCCTGCTCTGTACCCTACCAGAGCAGTGGGTCCAGTGCTGCTCTGTGAATCTTTTGAAGCCTGCATTTCCAGAGTTTCCTACAGCAGCCTCCTTGTCCTGTGTGGTGTTTGAGGACAGAAGAAGTGTGTTGTGATGGGTGGTGGCAGGCGTGGGCGGCTGGGTGGGTGAAGGGGTGAACTCTGAGAGAGACGGTACTTCCCTGGCTCCCAGCGCAATGAGGCTTGCTCTGGCTGTGACATGTGCCACTCTCTGGGGACCAGACTGGCTGGGCAAATGGCTCTGGGTGGCCCTGCTTCAGCAGGGGGGTGGCCCAGGTGACCCCCAGAGGTCCCTTCCCACCTTAGGCTCTCTGTGGTTCTGTGGTGAGCACTGTAAATGCCAAACAGCTGTAGTACCCTACTGGGCAGGAGGCAGGCTGGCAGCACCTGCAGCTCTGTGCCCCCCAAAATTCTGTGCAGGGACAGATGAAGCAGCAAAAGAGGGGCTCAGAGAAGCCAGCAGCATTTACCCCCCGCCCCTCCCCAAGGTTAGGCTCCTGTAGGGGTGACCAGGTGGAGAGTGTGGGGCTGCCCCTCAGGTGTGCTGAGCAAAGTTGGCACTAGTTCAAGCCTAGTTTGTCACAGGAGGCGGTGGTGGCCCACCAAAGGGAACTGCAGTGGGATGCAAGGTGAATCAAATGCTGTGCTTTGGTTCTCTTTCAGAAAGATGTTTTTAATAGTAGCACAATGAGGTTTTGCAAAGCTGGGACGCTACCACGCATGCGAAGGTGGCCAGGATGCCTGCAAAGCTCTGTGGGATGCTAAATAAAGCTGATGTGTGGCTCAGCTCCAGCCTTCAGAAACAGGTCTCCTACACGGTCCTTCATTGCCAAGTCTGTTCCTGGGAACTCCACATTCCCCTTCTCAAGTGATGTTTTCAACAACATGGGACTTGGCCTTCCTCGGCAGGAGCTGTGGTAAGGAAATGGGAGGGATGCCCCATGCTTGGCTCAGCTTGAACTTTGTGTGAGCATGCTGAGATCCTGGTAGCTTTTCCTGCAATATCCTAATAGCTTAAATTAAAAAGGGTTGTGAAAAAGCCCCTTTTGCCTCATTTGGGGGCTCCAAGGGGGCTCTGGCAGCACAGCGCTCTGTGACCACTCAGTGCTTTTATTGGCAACTCTCAGGAAAATGGGAATCAAGCCTACATAGTGTACAAAATCCAAGCGCTGGGGGGGAGGTAAAAAGCAGCAGCATGAGAAGTGCAGTGAAAGAAACATTTACAACTGTGTCATTAAGGATTTAAAATGAAACTCAGACAGAAAGTATTGATCCCCAGCTGCAGGACAACCTCTTCAGCTTTATTTCAAGCTGTGTTGCTCCTAGATCAGCATGTCTTTAAGGGCTCTGGATGCTTTGGAGGAACCCACCTGTAAAGAAAAGCCATAACACCATCTGTGCTGGGTCTGACCATGGGCCCATGTGCCCTCCTGTGGAGGCTGCCAACAGCAGGTGGCCAGAGATGACTGTGAACAGACACACATATTCTGGGTATTCCCTATATACCATATATACACACACTGTACTATACATACCCACAACCTTAAACTTGCCTGCTATACATCCCACAACCAGGGGTTTCCTGCAGCAGAGGTGGTGTCTCTGTGTTTAGTATCCTTGGATGAGTTTCTGTTCCATGACCTTGTGTATGTGGGTGCAGACAAACGTGCTGAGGCAAGAGGCCAATCTGGGGGCATGGATTTACAGAAGGATACGGACCAGGACACTGGTTAAACATTAAAAGCTGCGATCTCTGCTTCCTGACAGTTCCTGGCTAATTAAGCAGCTCTCACACACCAACATGAGCAGCTCTGCAGGGCCCGTGATGCACAGGACTGCACTTGCTGACTCTCAAGCTAAACGCCCAGCCCTGTATCCCTCCTTGGTTTGCCAGCGTGGGCTGTTGCCAACCTGCAAGATCCCAGGGTACCCGTCAAATCCCAGCCCTTACAGAAATTTATGGAATTGTCCCATCTACCATGCAGTAGGTTGTGGTCAGTCCCAGTAGGACAGACAGTGAGTCCTGTGCAGTCAAGAGACCAGATCCAGCCTGGCACAGGGCAGTCAGATTTGGGCTTGGAGAGGTGCAGGCAAAGGGCTGTGCTTGTGCTTGGCTGTGTGTTGGTTTCCCTGGTGCCAGCTGCTGGGGAGGTTGCAACTCACCTCTCTGCCTGGAGACAGCTTTCAGGTTGCAGGTGCCAGCAGGCAGCTTACAGGTGTAGAGCCCCAGGCAGCCACCACAGTCAGAGGGCTTCTGGCAGGGCCGGGACTGGATGCTGTGGCAGGAGTGCTGCAGAGAGAGGGAAAGTGGTGGCTGCAGTGCCAGTGTCCAGCTGTGCCCAGCCCCCAGACAAGGACCCCCTCCCACTCCCAGCTGTGTCATCACTGTGCTCACGCTGCCAAGAGCCCTGGTCCCAGGGAGCCTGTGCTGTTCACAGGCTCGAATGGGCACTTTCTATGCAGGCTTGGGCTGACAAGAAGTCTCTGGCAAAGTCAGAAGGTTTCCTTTTGGGGTGCACATGCCCCACAGCTGGTTAGTCAGTTGTCTTGGGTGATGTGAAATGCTCAGTCCTGGGACCACGATTGCGAGAGTCTATAAGCTTTGTCACGCTCAAGCTGACAGCAGTGCAATGCCTGGGAGTGGGAAGAGCTCAAAAGAGCCTCTTCATTTCCCCCAGAAGGGCAGGACAGAGAAGCTCCCATTGGAAAGAAAAGCAAAGTTGCAGAAGATTGTTTGATAGAATGGGATGAGTGTTTGGTTTCATTTAAAGTGGTAAAATAATACAGTAAATCCTGCAGTAGCAGGACAAAATAGCTCACCAGGCTATAGAGCAGCAGCTTCATACAAGTAGCTGGAGAAGCTGAGGCCCGAGGAAGCAGTTCCAGGGGCAGTTCATTAGTGCTTTTGACAGAAAGCACACTCAGCAGCATTGTGGCAACCACAGACATACACTAGTGCCTCTTCTGTGTCACCTGCCCCAGGTGGGTGGCACCTGGCACAGCATCAGATAGCACTTCGTGACTAAGGCAAGGTTTACTTGTGTGTCACCAAAAGGTGGTTTAGGTTTGATAACAGAGCGGTTGGTTATTTGCCGGATGTTGTGCTGAGCCCACAGGCAGAGGAGGTCTGTGCCTCCCTCTGGGCATTGCTGTGAGGAACTGTGCCCATCAGCATGGCAAGGGGCATCAGGGCATGGTGCCCCCCTTGCAGAGCTCTGAGAGCTTTGTGGTAGTGCTTCTGGGGGGGGGTAAACATGAGACTTCAGGGGCTGGGGAACATTACAGGGGCTGGGGCTGGAGCAGGACTGTCCTGCAGCTCTGAGGATAACACATGGTGCTGCAACCAGACTTGCACTCCCCTCCTGCTCTGCTCACCACCTGCATGCACAGCCATCAGCTCTGCTCTAAGCCTTGTCAGGTACCAGCTGGGGCTTTAGGGGTGTCACTGCCCACCTCCCACATCAGTACCACAAGCCACACTCTGCTGTGAGGCCATGTTGTTACTGGCACCTTTACATGCAGCTTATTAGGAATAGCCTGAAAGCACCTTTGTACCTGATGCTTGGCATCTGCTCCTGCTGCCCTCAGTCCTACCTGATCCTGACTGGTACCTCCGCTCATCCCCAGCCACCTTGCAAATCCCTCACGCAGACCCTCGTGCTCGCTGGCCAAGGACAGGCTGTGCTTACCGTGTCACTGTTGAACTTCCCGTAGTCCTTCAGGTGGAGGCTCAGCCTCGGGATCCTGCTGCGGGAGGGCTGCAGTGGGAGCCTCCAGGGCTTGCTGGCAGGGATCTGATTCCCACTGCCCAGCAAGGGTTTGGCCATGATCTTGCCGGGGGACCCGGAGCTGGGATGTGCCTCTCCCATCACTTTCCATGCACCGGCTGGGGGGCGGCTCCCCTCTGAGCCCTGCCCAGGCAGCTTGTCCCCTCCATCTCCAGGTGGCCGAGAGTCTTCTCCAGAGCCCCGAGCTCCTGGCTGCCTCTTGGGATTGCTGGCCTGGCCGCCCAGTGCCCCAGATGGTGCTGGGGCTGAGCAGAGCAGCACCAGGAGAAGCGCAGTGAATGTCAGTGCCTGGACCTTCATCCTCAGGGCCTGCTTTTGCTCGGTGTCCTTCTGCCTGGACAAGGCTGTTGGAAGCTGGAGCAGAGGTGGAAGCTGTTTTCCCCCCTGACTCTGGATGCAACTGAAGTCATTTTTATAGAGCAGGGACATACCTTGGGGGCACAGCCCTTTTCCCCCGCCCCTGCTGTGTCCCACCTCCCTGCTTACGAGCAAACCCAGTTGCTTACGTGGGCCCCAGTCCCCCTCCCTCGTGTTCCCAAACACCCCAGCACCCTCCTGCCAGGACCACCCTGTTCAGTGCCAGGTAAATGCGTGGCTGTGTGGCATCTCCCATTTCAGAGCACAGAATCTTTTAGATAAACTGCAGTTGCAAGCAAGGTCCTAGTTGTGTGTCTTGTTTGTGTGTCTGAAGGAAAGGCAGCAGGCTCAGAGGTAAGCAGTTGGTATGGGCTTGGTGAAAGCGGTCTTGGGTAGAGGAAGGGCACCCAGTTAATGCCTCTGTCCATTGCATTCTTAAATAGTAGAGTCCACCATTGAGAGAGTGGTGTTAGAGTTGCCCTGACCAACCTTTGGTTGGCTTTTGTGCTGCATCAGACACCTGGGATCTGCTCCTCAAGCAAGGGTTCTCACTATATATGAAACGGAGGGTGAGTCTGTACTCCAGACTTACTTGTCTGTTCAACCAGCCAGCACCAAGATCCAACTCTACTAGAAATTAGTTTTAATGAGTTTCAGTGTTCACCAATCTGTTGGTGCCCACAGTTACATCCTGTGCTGTAACTCACCAAATAAAAATTTTTTAAAAATTAAAAAGAAAAAGGACCATTAACAACAGCAGACAAACATAAATGTGAACAGTGCAATATCAGCTTTCACCGAACGCACTCTACAAACAATTCACCTCCCAAAAAGTACTGAAAGTCCAAGTCCTCTGGTCAGCACCCAGCTTTTGAGCTCAGTGCTCAAAACAGTCCAGTTCCTGGAAATAGGAATGCTGGGACTTCAAGGAGGTGATAGATGAGAAAGCCACAGTGTTCTAGTCCATCTTCCATACCTTCGCCTCTGGCCAGCTCCTGCTCTTGACTTGCTCCTGGCTGACACTGGAAGTGCTGATTTCTGGGGAGATGGGCTCATAGGAACGGAGAGACAGGCTTGCAGCAAGCAGACCCATCTGGACACAGGTTTCTGTGTCATGCTTAGCAAGCATCCCTGCAAGGATTCCGGCCATTAAGCTGTGGAGAGAAAGAAAGGTGGTTTTGAACAGGAGGGGAACAGTTTTGAACTCAGGAATGTGGCTGTTCATTTGTAGGGGCTTTCATTTGGACCCAAACTAACACTTACAGAAGCTGAATATGTCACAAAGGAGGGCTGAGGTTACAAAGAATAGATCTTGCTTTTTTATATTTATTTTTAAATTTAGAGTACAAAATAGTGTTATTTATTTGCAGTTTATGTGCTTCTCATCTCACAAGTTGAGGTACTTTCTCTTGCGTCACATTTTCTATTCTCAGTTTTCCAGGTGAGGCAGAAGAAAGGAAAGGAGTCTAAGAAGGGAAAAATATACTTTTCCCTTGCTCTCTAATTATTTTGTCACTTCTCTGCTCTTTGTTGGTGCCTCGTTATGTCCCCTCCTTTCCCTATAGGGGTTGGATAGGGTGAGAGGTAAAGTTTCCATACCTATGTGAGAGGGACAACAGGCACAGCTGGAAAAAGAAATCCAAAGCCGAAATGAGATTGGAAATTTGGATTTTTGAAAACATTTGCTGTGGGTTTCCATGTGAGATTTCCCAGTAAAAAAATGTGAGTGCTTGGAACAACAGTGATCACCCTCAGTCCCCACAAGGCACAGTCCCCTCTCCTGGCCACTCAGAGAAGGGAATGACTTTGTCTTGCCGGGGAAGGCTCGGCTGAGGCAGGGATACCTGCGGGCAGTGTTTGTGATAGACTGAGAACAACTACTCTTTATTCACAGTTAACTACTGTAATGATGTTCTGCAGCTAGGGAAGGACAAAGGAGAAGTGAAAGAGAAGGGAGAAGACAATGCCGTTCGAGAGGAAGAAGCAAGGAAAGGAAAATGTGATGGCAAGGAGGATTAATAAGCACATCTATGGGGAAGGGGGAAAGAACCCCTTTTTTGCACTGGGGCTAATTACCTTAACATCTTTTTATCCATAACAAAGGCACAGAAGATTATGAGTTCCATAAAGTGTTCAATCTCTCAACAGCTCCAGAGGTTGAGAGTAAATATTTGGGGGAGCATCCCCTAGCAATGCCGTGTGCGGGCAGGCAGTGTTATGTTGTCACGGCAGCCCCATGCAAGGAGCAAACAGCCACCACTTCTGCCTGCACACACGCTCAGCTCCTTGGACAGCATCTCTGGACCTGTGGAAGAGCCAAGGCAAGAAGTGCCCTGGATCACTGTTTCTGGATGTGCACTCCCCCCTGACCAGTGCTTCAGAAGTGTGAGGGTTCACAGGGCCAAGCTGTGAAAGTGTTACTGATTAAATTAGATATTAGGAAGAAATTCTATGCAATGAGAATGGTGAAACAGGAACAGGTTGCCCAGACAGGTGGTAGATGCCCCATCTCTGGAGACATTTAAGGCCAGGTTGGATGGGGCTCTGACCAACCTGATCTAGTTGAAGATGTCCCTGCTCATTGCAGGGGGGTTAAAACTAGATGACCTCTAAGGGTCCCTTCCAACCCAAATCCTTCTGTCCTTTAAAAGTGCCAACAGGCTGGGCTTGAGCAATGAGTTCATATGCTGTGGAGACAACATGTATGTCAAGGCAGTTTCCTGGCATTTGCAACCTGTTTTGGCACTCTTACTCTGTAGAACAGGAATTTCTGCAGCTCAGTGGAGCAACTGAGGTTATTAGGAAAAAAACCCTGGACAAACAAGAGGACTATGAAAATTGCCCCACATGGATCTGGGGACTCTGGGGAGAGGGATTTCCTGATGAACATTACCTCAGGAATGGGAGCAGTAATGAGCCCTTAGCTCTCAGATAGCTTTGGAAAGAAAAATAAACTACCAGGTTCTCCAGTATAACTCAGTGGAGGTGGTTGGCAGTGGCATGCTTTATCTCACCTTTGGTCTTCCCTTAATTTAACTTCTTAAAAAGGGAGAAGAATCCCTAAAGAAGATGTTTAATTTACATTAGCCTCTAGAAAAGATTGCTGTGCAGTAAGGGGTACTTATGTTCTGAGCAGATGGTGCAGAGAGGAGGCTCCCTGGAGGGACTGGCAGACACTGGGGACATCTGTTGGGGTCATGAGCAAAGTTGAACTTTCCTTAGGCAAGCTGACTCCGTGAGGTTTCTCCAGCCCCTCTTCCTGCTGTTACACCTATTGCTCCAAACAACCCTAGAGAAGACCAGCTTGCAGTTGCAGTCAGCTCATCTCAGAGGTGATCTGGAACACAAGGAGCATGTCCTGGTGCTAAGTGGGCTAAGTAGCTTGGCAGCAAATTATTGATTGATCCTAAGTCAAATATTGAGGACTCTCTATGTTTAAAGGCAAACAAAAAAACTCCCCAAAAAACCACACCAAAAAACCTTTTCATTCTGCCCACTGATAATAGAAAAAAAGAAGTGTTGCTATGTTGAGTTACTGGTAGGTAAGCAGAGAAAAAAAAAGGAAATATCTGTCACGTACAGACTTTTGGTCTAGCCCAAGGCAATGAAAGGACAGAATCAATTCTTTCAGTATATGAAGCAAGAAAAAAACCCCACCTGACTGCTACATATAGTTTGTCAAGTAAAAAAGGAGCATAATAAACTATTACTCTGACAGACTGAGAACTGATCAGCAGGGCTAGCAATAATAGCTGTCATTTCCCACTCCTATGTACAGGCCTGTGTGAACAGCCAGGAGAATTATACAGCAGACTCTTTTGAAGCAAGAGCTTCAAAATTGCCAGAGGCAAATGCAGAACCTGATGAAATGCTTTTATAGGGCCATTTTTGCTACTGAGTGGCAGTTCCACTTCCATTGGAGAAGTGTGGAAGTAAAGCAGTTAGTTAGTAAGACAGCTTTGATGTAAGGTGGTTTACTTTGCTTTTAGCAGCTCAGCCCAGACTAATTCAGAACTCTTAGATTGCCAGGAAAGGCTTAGATCTTAAAGAAAAGCAAGCCTTCCAAGATGCTTCAGGGGACATTTTTATCGTGCTTTGCAAGGAATCACGGTAACCAGCCCTGTTCTCATGTCCTTGGTGTCTCTTCCTCCAGCAGCAGAAAGTCGTTCTCGCCTTTGCAGTAGAATTTCAAAGAAATCCGATTATGGCCCTTTCACACTTAGTTGAAGAGTACAAAGCAGTGAGCAACATACCTGTCGCCAGCTCCTGAGACGTTGACTATCTCCTCTCTGCTGATGGGGATGGTGGGGTAGTGGGCGGCACAGAGGCTGGCAGCAGCAGTCTGTGGGAGTAGAGAGGGGAAATTAGTGGGAATTGCCAACGCTGATAAGGCCTGATGTGGGTGATGCCAGACCTGCATGGCTGACAAAAAAAGAAAAGACTGAAAAAAAAAAAAAAAAAAGGCAATAATCTTTTTTCACGCTTTGAAAGAGATCATTTAAATGAAGCTTCCCGAAAACGAAGCTCACAGTCATGAATATTCATGTAAGCACATTTAAAACTAACTGACTATAAACACTGCTGCTAGGAGCCAGCAGTATAGGACAGACAACTTGATTTTCTTTCAGAGCTGTGTATGCCACCCCCCAAACACATACATTTTCCAGCACTGATGACATGTTTCCTAGGACTGCTGCCATGCCACCAGAAATAGCAACAGTGCCATATGGTCCAAGAAAGAAGCAACCGAGAGCTCAGAGTTAGTTTGTTGCGCCCTTACCAGTTCATGAGCTCCTGGACAAAGCAAGATGCTCCCTCCCAGGCTCTTGCCACACAGGAGGATGCCATGAGTGCCAAGGGTCACCACCACACACTGCAGGTGGGCCAGTAAAGGGCAGGCCAAGGCTGCTGCAGTCTGGACAACATCCTCCAACCTGCATGGTAACTCTTCAGAGAGTGGGGAAGGAAAACCGTGTTACAACTGTAAAGGTCCTCATCTGGCCTTTCTGTGGGCTGGCAGCCTATTTATGAGCAACTCCACTAGTATTTATGAGCACTTCTGAAGTGTGGTTGATAACATTTTTTTTCTTCAAATTATGGGAAACATGGAATTCCTCATTGTTAGGCTTCTATGCTGGGGAACCCAACCCCCAAAGGGACTAAACATGTGTCTGTAGAGATCAAAAAAACTGGCTTGAAGCATGGCTTCCTTGTTTTAATGCTGTTGGATTTCCACCTGCATTTGGTGGGGTGTTTCATTTCGGCACAGGATGGTACTGTTGGGACAGAAGCCTCAGAGCACTGTGCTTCAGACACATTTACAAACCAGACACTGCTCCTGTTTAGCTGATGAAGTGAGGCAAATGCTATCTCTGGTTTTGGACAAGGAGCCATGCCAGGCCTGCTGTGCTCTCTGATAGATCAACAGTCCATACAATCCATGCAGATATGGCTGTGAGGTGCAAGACACCGAGAGCACTTAAGAATTTCCACTGTTATAACCCAATTTGCTTAAAATAGGGGCTGGAGCAGAAAATGCTCTTCTCCAGGATGTAGGTTATCTAAAAGTGTTGCTGATCCTTTTGAGTATTAAATACCTGCTGGCACAGGGTTCCCAAGGGTCCGATTTATTGCTGTTAGCTCTTGCAGGTTGGGGGAAATGTATGTGAGTGCTTTCCAGCTGTCTGAGAGGAACGGCTTAGAGGCCTTGTTCACGTCTGTTGGCTCATAGCACACTTCAAAACAACAATGCAATTGGTTAGTTAATTAATTAATTAGTGTCTCATCTCTACATCAGAGCAGGATGCAGTGCAGAAGGCTTAGCGTGATCTGCACAACTGGAGTTACACGAGTAATCTATTAGAAACTTAAATACTATTTGCCCCATGCTTGTGACAAGGTCTCCCAAGGTCTACTTTTCCGTGCTCAGCAATGAGACAGCTGCTCCTGGCTCTGGAGTGATACAATCAGACTTTAGTTTTGTTACTTGTCTTAGCTACTTTTGGGGCCTCTGCCAGATTTTAAGATCATTGTGTCCTCTTTTAGGATTTGCTTTTAAAAATGAAGGTGTAACTCCAAAGGTTTTGGAAGCCTTGTGAAGGGCTCCCAGCATGCCAGTGGAGGGGGTATTTATTTTTTGGGAAGCGGGAAAGAAATCCTCTCAAAAGATGCCTTAGGACTTAGTCTGAGAAGCAAACTATATTGCTGCTCAAATTGGCAGAAGTGCTCAAATTGGCACTTGCCTTGAGATTAAAGACAAGGAGAGCAGCTTTCCCTGGCTTTCTGGCAGTGCCCAAGGGCTATACCAACTACACTTCAGGGAATGTGATTTATCTGCAGGAAGAGGAAAACTCAAGAGAAATCAGAAATGTTTTGTCCATTGGAAACAGAGTAGCAGAATACATAAGAGGCATGTCAGACAGTAAGTGGGTATCCCGAGCAAGCAGCAGAGGTTGGGGCTCAGGGTGCACAGAATGTCTTGGCACACAGACTGTGAGGAGCCACAGGGCCAGGGCTGGGCAAGTTTTCCTTACCTGCTAGCTGATGCTCTTTAGCTAGTTGGCAGACGTACTGAATAGTGGAAAGAGGCACATTTCCATCAATGCAAACTAGCGGGGCCTGACACAGGTTCTCCTTGAACTGGGACACCTAGTGAAAATCCAGGACATGGAGGAGGGACAGCTTGAGTCATTGCAGAGGTGACAAAAGGATTGCTAGTTAGACTTGATGTAGGATTTTCAGTTGTATTGCAGCCCTTAGGTGCAGGTATGAACCTACAAGACCGATTCACCAAGGGAAGTGGATTTTTTCATTTGCCTCATCTCCTCCCCTTGTCCTTCCCCTGCTCCCTGCCATGAAGAGCTGGACTCAATTGGCAGGGCCCCTCTGGCAAAGAAAGTTGCTGGTACTCACTAGACCAGGACAGGGAAAGAGAATGCTGCTGTTTAATGCCACTGCAGGATTCCCTGTGCCATGCCTGGCTTCACTACACCTTTGCCCACTCTGCATGACATTTAAATGTCCTCTGTGCACAGTGCCTCCTAAGACCGGTTGTTCATCAGTGTTTTACTTCTTGGCCCTACTGAATTCCATAGGGATGGAGGACAGTGGAGCAGTAGAGTGGGGAGCTGCTGTTCTCTCCTTTGGCTCTCTGGGGCTGCAGGAGCACTGTCTGGATGCCAGGCCAGAGCTAAGGGCACTCGTGCACCATCCCTCCTGTGTCTTTGCCAGTCCTGGCGGAAAGAAGGGCTGCCAGAACACACTTTGCAGAAGACGACGGGTTCAGAATTTCCACTGGCCACAGCTGTTTCATAAAGCTCAGGAGAATTAATCTGTCATGTAACAGTTTTCTTTGCCAAGGCTTGGGGGAGGCAGGGTGGGGATGTAAGTGGGAATGATGACCATATTTTTGCCTAGGAAGGCTCCACCTCAGGGAGACGCCACTGGTAAGTAAATTGCACTTAACTTCCATGTTTCTGTCAGTCATGAAGCACAGGCTTTTGTTCTGTCAATAAAAGAATGAATAGGGAAAGAGGGTGCAGTGAGGGGGCTTTCACTGAATCAGTCCTTAATCACTGCTTCCATTAGCCCTGATGTTTTTGAATGTTTGGATGTGCTGAGCAACAGTTTCTGTTGATACAACTCAGCATGTAGAAACAACAGGAATGGTGGGTAGGGGATGGAATGGGAAAACTTGCTTTAACCAGTCTTCTGACCTTTTTTTTTTTTTAATTTTCTCTATAAGGAGAAATATCATTTCTGCAGGTGGACTGGATTTATTTCTGGCTTTAAGGTGCCAAAAATTATAGGTTAGCTTGGACAACTTAATGAAGAGGATTCCAGCCTATGTGTCATGGGTCGTAGTAGTGGTGATACTTATGGACCAGAAACAGAAACTTCACCTGGGTCAGCAGCAACAGAGGGCTCTGGTAGCTTCTCATGCTGCTATCTCAGTGGCCAATGTCTGGGTTAACTTTAGCATCTCCCATGTCCCTCTACAAACCCACTCCTCCATGGTACAGGCTTTACCAGTGGTCTTTTGTCACAGGTCCACACTCGTTCTCGTAAGAAAAGCTTACAAATCAGACGGTGTGCGTACATATTGCTGTGTGATCTGCTGGTGGATGTCCATATCTCCCAAGCCGATGCTGAGCTCTCCAGCACTGGTGATCACAGCACAATAAGTGGCTGTGCTCTTCCCCTCCAGCTGAAGGACAGCACCCATGTCCTGAAACAGGGAGGACAGTTACACACAGAGCATGTTTCTCTTCCCTGCCACACTTGGCTCAATCTTTCTCTGTGCCTACCCGGTCTCTAGCCCAGCTCGCTGTTATCCCTTCAAATTCCCTTCTCCCTTGGGATAAGCAGCATTTCAGGGGTATCTCAGTCTAGACAGTGCTGATGCTTGACTATTTTTTAATATTTTCAACGCAACACAGGTTAAAGCAATCCTTTAGTAAATGAGAGTGACAGGTCTCTGCCATGCAGTTCCACAGGCTGTGTCTCTGTCATAATAAAGAGTGGTCTGCAGCCCTGTCTGCTCCAGTCACCCACTCCCATAGCTTGTGTGACACTCTGATGGCCTGCTGACGTGCTGGCATGTGTTGGTGGCACACTGCAGCTAGCAGTTACGTTGGCCACCTCATGAACTGCCCAGACAGATTCTAAAAGCAGCCTTGGAGCCATTTTTGCAGCAGTGGGGCAGACACAGCTGTGACATGTCCTTCCTCTGCGGGTCTTGTGAATGATCACAACTCAGGGCGTGTCCTGGAAGGAGCATGTGGACAGAGAAATGCATCTACCCCAGGAGCTGACAGGGAAGGTGGAGGTTTCAGGGAAAGAGTCCTCTCCAACACTGGTAGGAATGTGTTTTGCTACAAGTAAGGATTGCTTGGTGGCTGGCCAGCAAGTCCATCCTTCCCTGGGAGACTGATCACTTTGATGGCACAAACTGTGCCGTGTAGAGGAGGGATTAGAGGCCAGAAGCTATGAAGCCTTTATAAACCAAAATGGAGTTCAAGCTCTCATTGCTCAACTTGCTAAGTTGCTCAGGTAGCCAGAATTAAGGCACTGTGGGCTCTGTTTGAATACCAGGGTATTTAAAGGGCACTCACAAGCCTCAGTGATCCTGACCAGCCTCACCTGGGGGCTGTATCCACCTTCCCTTGCCTTCAGTCCTGCCTCTTGCCTATGGAGTTGCCTTATGCCCTAGGTTAGGGCTGCCCTCCTGGCTTTTTTTGCTCCCTGCTGGGGTGGTGATATTCTGCCTTGCTGTCCTGGGGAGCTCCTGCTGCTCCTGGCTCCCTGACCTGGGTGGACAAGCTGCTGCTGAAGTCAGATATTCTCTTGTGGCACAGGTAAGGGGGGTGCCTGCAGCTCTGTAGAGGACCCTGCTCCTCTGAGCTTGGGGGGTGTCCAGCCTGCAAACCCAGTTTCAGGTTTTCTCTGTCTTGGGCTTTACCCAAGCCAGGCTGATTTTGGCATTGCTTTGTATATCCTCAGAGTCAAGGTTTACCTATTTCTTGCTGTGCTTAGCCCTTAGTAGAATTTTTCATGGTTCTTCCTGATTTACTTCTTTATCTCCTTCAAGCTCTTGCTGGAGCTGAATTTAGACCTCATGGTTCAGACTCTAAAGGGTACATATTTGCAGCCTGTGTTTTGGGGGTTGGCTCCTTGTTTTCTAGTTGTCTGTAACTAAAGAAACATTGAATTATTCCTACTCTAAGCCTGATGAAAGGTGGCTCTGATGTCTGCCAGGGTTGAGAAGACTTTTCCCTCTATGTATTATCATCACTTCCAAGTTTCTGAGGTGCCACTGCTGTGCAACATACCATGTGGTGGCAGTAGTGCAGGACAGACTCTAAATGCTCATCCTTCCCCACAGCAGATAAAAGGAGAGGAGTTTGTCCAAGACGGCTTAAACAGTCTAAAATGCAAATGGAAACAAAAGCTATTAACAAATCCATCAGATTAGTGTGAACACAGTGACAGCCTGTACAGGATGGGTGTCTGTAGGAAAGCCCTCTCCTGGAAAATTAAATGCTCATCAGTCCTTGCCTAGAAGGATAATCAAGATGAAATTCAGCTGCAGCTGTTGCAAATGACTGGTTGGAGTTGAGTGAGGTGATTCTGCAGAGAGCTGCACCAGCACTCTGAAATTTCGGATTATTTGGAACATCTGCGAGTGGAAGAAAAGAGGAGGGGGAAGAAAATTCTACATTTTTTTTGGCATCAACTCCTTTATCATAACAGGCATGTAGGTTTTCCCCCACTGTTTCTGTGCATGGTGTTTTTTGCTGTTGGCCTTCCCACACTACTGTTCCCACAACGATGTCTCACTAGAACCACTGAATCTAAGTGGATTCATGGAAAACCCTTCCTCCTCTCCCTTCAAGTTACTACCAATTATACCTCAGTGGGTGGCATGGGTATTTTGGGGTGGTTTTTTTTGCACTCAAGCTTCTTCATTAGTGATCTGAAGTGATAGTAGATTTATGTTAGGATGATTTGGGAAACATCTAAAAGCAGGAATAATCCTAACGTGTTTCTGTAATCTGCCCCTGTTAATTTCAATACATGAATACTGGTCTGCTGCTGCTTGTGTTGGAGCACCAGGTACAGTGGGATCCTTTCCTATTGACAAAGGACTGTAGCCCTTTCTCTTCTGCAGTAACTCCTGTACCCCAGTTCCCCTTGTCCATAGTATGTGGTTGATCACCTTTGAACAAGCTTATTCCTTTCAAATTCTTACTCAGAATATACTTCTATTGTGACTGTAACCTGGCATTAATTAAATCTGAGGGCCAGGCTGCTCAGTAGACACTGGAGAACAGAAATGCTTATTTAACTTTGGTTTGGGGTCAGGGTGCTATATGCTAGTTAGCTTCATATTTGTGGACCTTCCTTTTCCTCATCTCAACTCCCTCCCTCTTATTTCTTGGAATGGCCCCTGCCTCTTCCAAGCAGTCTGCCCACTGGTATATTGCCTAATGTGTCCCAAATCTCGACAACATTAAACATCTCCTGCTGTGGAAGGAATACCAAAGGACGAATCACAGCTGGCATGCACCCACAGGCAAACCCAGGCACAAGGCACCTGCCAAGTTTCTTCCAACACCGCCAAAGGTTCGTCTCACTCTTCCAGCATTTGTTTGCCCACCACCCTGGAAGAAAAAGCTGTTAGTTGGCAAAACTGGGAGGGCCGCTTGGCATAGATGCTATGTCTGCATCAACATGTGAAGTTGATGTTGCTGGAATACAGGTCAGCAATCCGAGGGAGCAGAGGGCATCCAGCTAACAGACTGAGGGCAATATAAACTTCTGTGGCCATCTACAGGCTTCAGTCTCGATGACAAAGGCTTGCTTTCTGGAAGGGGAGATCCACTTGATCTCCCCATGAATTGCTATTTTGGTCTTATTTGCTAAGACCTCCTAGAACAATGCTAATGAGTGTTTCTGTGGCTATGAGCAGCACTCTGAATTGACCTGCTCAGGACAGCCTGGGACTCCAGAGCTGCTGACCCAGACCTGACAGGCTCTGCAGCTGCTTTCCAGGCCACTTAGCTCCCACCTTAAACAGGTTGGGGGGTTTTATTTATTTTCCTCTTTGAATGTAAAATTGTATTTGTTGCCTTTGCCTGTACTGTCTCTGTACTTTATTCATGGAAGGATCTGTTTCAGAGCCTGAAGATTTTTTTCACTCACCCTTTGCTTCCCAAACATCTCTCTCATCAAAAATACCCTTCTTTTTCACATGTGTGGCTATCAACTTCTCTTTTTTTCTTGCCTCTGCCTTCCACTCCTCTGTCCATCTGCCTCTCTGTCAGACAGACAAAGTGTCAGAACACAGGCAATCGCTCACCCATCTCCTAATTCTTCTGCCAGAAGAATTACATCAGTAAGTGCTCAGATCAATCTGGGCTTCATCTGACTATCAAATGGTTTTAGAGCTCTTGTTTCATAAAGTACTGACACATACTTTCCATTTCTGGAGCCAGCCTGCTGGCAGTCATAATGATCTTCACAGGGTATAACTGAAGCTCCCCAAGGACTCTTCTCCCCCTGTGTGAAGCAGTACATCTGTCCTTTGCACACAACGCTTTCTCCTGCATCCAGCCCTACAACTGTAAGAGGCTGCTCTCTCACCCGAGTATGCTCTTTTATTACTCCGCTATGACTGCCAGGCTCTTTTTTTTTTAGCTCTGACTCTCCCCAGTTCTGTACTTTGTAAGACTTGGTGCTAATTCTTGACACCTTTGCTTTTCTCTCTGGCCGTTCTCCAAGCCCTGAACTGTTCACATCACCTGAGCAGAACTGCCTCTATATAAACAACTTATGGCCTCTGTCCATATTTCCATTACTTGTCATTTCTCATTAACACAAATGCCCCTTGGTTACATTTCCTCATGCTCCCTGGGAAATTGCCACTGGCACTGCCGGGAATGAGGATATTTCCATCTGCAACTGCGTCCTGTTGAGTGTTGCAGATTTCGAAAGCATTGAGCTTGGACTGTTTTAACTCTGAAGCTCGCTATCTGTAATAGCAAAGGAAAAAGACCCCAACACTCCAAAGTAAAAAGCAAGGGTGCTTGTTTAGGCAAGTCAAACAACATGGCTTTGAATACTAGCCACTGTTTCAATCTTAAAGAGGGTGCTCACTGCCATCATTAATGAGCACAAACTGTATTTTATGTAGTTCCACTATCTGCTTTCTTAAACTGATGTCTGCAGGAATGGTGAAAATACTCATGAGGTCCTTTAGTTGCCTGGTAGGCTGATCCTGAACTCTTTTAGTTCCCTGTGCTCCCAGAGGTACAGTTGCTGGGTTTTCACGCCCAGCCTTGCCCTAAGAGCAGATGTACCAGCCTACCACTCAGGGATCCACCTGTGAGTGACCTCTGCTGTTGTACAACCCCACAGGGCCTAAAAGAAATGAAGATGCTAGATTTCTCTTTAAAATAGCAGGTGGGTGCAGCAAGAAAGAAACCAGCAGCCAGCTTTTGAAGTAAAAAAGAAATCAAGAGTGACTCTCATCATACTTTGCCACTTGTCCTAACTCCGAGTGGTACTCAGGTATCTCCTCTACACTGTGTTCAGGTGGGGCTGGCTGAGATGAAAGGACTTAGATAAAAGTGGGCTTGTTGAAGTGATATGAAATAAAGCAGAGCTGATGCTTTCTGGCAATGTTCCAGAGAACTGAGAGAGTCTCTGGAACCTTCTTCAGTGTCTTTAGAGATTTGAATTCCCAATGTAAAAGTGAGACTCTGCTCAACTTCTGGGTGTCCCGAGGGAGTTATAACCATAACGTTTCTTCCAGCACCTTTCTTTGAACAAAACCATGCAATCATCTCAGCAGATCAGAGAGTTACATACAAAACACTTAGCTTCTGGGTAGCCTTGAAAGCCATGTGGGAATTACAACCAGTACAGAATACAGCTGCTTTCCTGCTGAGACGCCATGTGGTGTGAGCGGTACCCCAGTGCTCTACAGCAAATCCAACAGGCATAAAGGTGGGACCTGCTGGGTGCTGAGCCCTTTGGAAAAAAATCTCTTTAAAAAGTCAAAACAAAGCAATGCTTTTGAGAGAGCCTCTTCCTCTGTGCCTAACCACATTAGCTGTCAGCAGGAACATTTTGGCTGTCAGTTCCCAAATCCTCCTGCAGCTTGGCATTTGGACAGCTGCCATGATGGACCATTGGCTCTAAGGCTTGCTACTATACAGAAGGGCAGCTAACACCTTAGTTTTCCATCTAACACTAAAAATCTCTTTTCTTCCCCATCAGCTGTTCCCAGTGGGGTCTATAGTGGTCCTTGGCCCCCTCAAAAATAACCCCATGACACCATGCTATAGGTGGTCCAGAGATCTGCACTCATGTCTGACATGCCGAGGAGTGCCTATCCACCCTTGGACACAGCTCTGCTCCTTGTTCTGATAGCTGAGCGTGGGGTTGTATGGTATTGGTTAGATCCCAGATGAAACACTTGAACTTTTGGGTTTACAAGCCTTCATAATCAGTGCCAGAGCATGTTTCACCCTGGAGCTTTATAACACTGTTTGGTCTTTGCATCATGAAATAGCCGAATTCCTTAAGGACAGCTTTCCCATCACATCTTTCCCTATCTGACTGAGGCTGCCCCATCTCACAGTGAAAGCTTCCTGCCTTGGCAATCAGCATAGATCAATTCGAGACACTAGAGAATTTTTCAGCAAGTTTGCACCTCAATCTGCAGTACTTCAGATAGCTAAACAAAAATTGTACAGGCCATGCAAACGGCCACCATTTGAGTGGGGGAGTCCCAGGTCTGTTCTACTTGAGCTTCTTGATTGTTTCTTATTCAAACCACATTGAGAGGAAGAGGGTCTGATAACATTTAGAATGTTCTATTTTTTAAAAGCCTTTCTTTTTTTTTTTTGTGTGTATGACTCAAATCTGTCATGAGTACTCTACACTGACACTCTTGCTCTTATTCATGCTATTTTTCATAGCTAAGGCAGTCCCAGACAGCCAGAGCTGGCTCTTAGCTGGGGATTTCCTCACTATGGAGTCTTGAATTAGGGGCTGACACAGCACACTGAGGGGTTTTACCCACTGCTCTTTGAATACGTGCCTTGAGAGTGCCCTGGGCACCTCTTCTGCTAAAAGAGCTCTTTGGGCTTGGGGTCAGAAAACAGCCTCAAGGCACCTTAACAAAGACTATAGAGGCCAGAGTTGTATTGTATGGATTGCTTTGTCCCTGTCTTGAGTGGCAGGAATGGTTTTCACCATGGGGACAGAGTAGGTCAGTATATTTCACTCCATTGCCCACCTAGACAACACAACAAGTATGTAGCACCACACCTGCTTGTGCATACAGACATATGGATATCATACATGGATAATGCCTTCCCCCACAGTCCCCTTTTAAAGGCACTCCTTTAAAAGTAGCTAGAAATGCAGTGGTGCTAAGAAAACTTCTATAGATACAGTACCAGGATGTCAGGGTTCTGCGCCTTGGCTATAAAGTCAACGTTGATACCTCCAATCACCACCTTTAAGAGGGAAGAAAGAGGTAGAAAGTGGTTGGAAGGATTGGAGGAAAAAGTTTCCAAGTTGAGTTTGCTTTTCCTAGTCACTTTTCCTACCCCTCTTGAAAACTGTTTCATTTACAGTGTAAAGACCAGTGCTTATTTTGGATGGCTAGACACAGGTTTGTACAATCCCAAACAGAAAGAAGCAAAATCTCTTCTGTATGTTGATTTCTAAATTATGCCTGCTGATAGCCTTCCCCAGCGTGACAGGTGGGATGTGACTGTGCACACAGGCGTGCTGGTGGTTTCTCTGTGAGATGACAGAGTAATGTAAGAAGTCACATGGGTCTGGTCATGCCAGGGACTTCAAAGCCATCTCTCTTGGAACAATTTCTGACATACCAAACCTCAGAAATATTCAAGTACTATTGTGGAAAAAAAAAAGCAAAGAAAATGGGAAAAAGTGGGCAGAAAAATGCAGTCATTTCTTGCAAGCTCCCAGGAGGAATTGCCATAGCCAGTGACACTATACAGATTGCTTTTTTATTGTCCTACAAAGCCAGAATAAGCAGTACAGTTCCACAAACAGGAAGTTTCCTGATTCTTTGGGGACATACAGCTATTTCTTCTCGTTCCATCAAATGCTGGGTTATTGCCTCTGGAGTCAGTGCCCTCTTTTATGTTGACAAATCCTATTGCAAATGGGTTTTAGAAAATCTTTCAGCTCTCTAAAGACCACCTAAAATAGATTTCCTGTAAACTATATGGCACACACAAAATCCAAGAGAGTGAATAGAGTATTAGGGTTATAGTGAATCTTGTTTAGATGTGCTTTAACTCTTGTGATTTTGTCAATCATGAGCAGGAGGCCAACAAAAAGAGATATTTATAAACATTTATGGCTCTGCAGCAAAAAATATCTCTCTCCACCCTCTTTCAGGTCTACTCCTGTAGTCATGAGTTCCCTGGCACTAAGAGCAATATAGTCGAAGTTGTACATAAGGACAGAGTAAAAGGTGAAAATGTGATTAAAGTTTTAATGGCTTTGATGGTCTAAGACTTAATGGGATTAGGCCATTGGCAGTGTTTATTCCCTGTAAATGTGGATGGGGGAGGAGAAGATGTTTATCCGTGAAGAATAAAAAGTACCAAAGGGAGAATGTCTGACAGTGAGAAATAGAAAGACTGGTCTCTGGCTGAGTCACCTTTTACTTTTGGGAACAGATATAAATTTATCTTGTGCTGTCAGCACAGAGGCATCATATGGAGGCCAGCAGAGGACTCACTGGTTGAGGTGCAGTCGTGTCCCCTCGCCAAGGCAGGTTCCCCTTCCTTCTGGCTTTCTGTAGTTTGCTCAGGGCTACTGCAATGCAGCTGCCCACTTTGGCATTGTTCTGGATCAGTGCAAGGTCTGTTTGGCATTTCTTTGAGGAAAAGAAAAAAAATCAGCAAGACTGACCTGTTAGAAGCTTATGTAGGAACTGTGTAGAGGGAGAAAGTAGGAAATACGTGCTGTGAGGCTTGGTAGAATTGATTCCCCATACCATAATCCTTTTGGGGCATGTATAATGGGTTACAGTACTGCATGAACACTCTGATATTTTCATTTTTTTCACCTTCCTCCCCCAATATCCACAGAAAGAAAGCCTGTCTTCTCCATTTGACAGATAGGGAATAGAAGCAATGGCTTCACAGAGAAAAGAGAAGGTGAAGTGCTTAAATTAGAGTTGAGAGCCTAAAAACATTAGAGGATTTTGGCCAGTTTTTCCAGAAAGAGATACCTAATGAGATTTTGCCAAGTCACTATAAGCAATTTTTTTAGCACTTGGGGCAGAGCATCAGCGGCTTTGAAAGCCCCATTTTTTTGGCTGCATACAGCTCCAATATCCAAAAATGCCTTTACTAATCTGCTCTGATTGGTCAGGTCTCCTAGAGGGCTGGCAGCAGAGCCTGGATGTGAATATGGCCCACTTAGATTCTACGCTGGCATCTCGGTAGATCTGCTTTTTTCTTGCCTGTGCAAGAGGATTCCTGCTCACACAGCGGTGTTTTTCTTCCAAGTTTCTCTTACTCCATGCCCACGTGAAGAGTTGGATGAGGCAGTGTGATGTACAGCCCAGGTACCTTCCAGAGTGCAACCTCACCATGGGCAACAGTATCCTGACACTCCACTGCAGAGCAGGCAAGCTCAGGGGCCAGGTATGAGGGACCTCCTTAGGCTCTAGACCACCTGCTGTCTGTTTTGCCCTCCAGTTTTTAATGCAAAAGGGGATGAAGACAGAAAGGATGCTCCTGAAAAATCAGGGTGCAGCTGCTAAACTCTCATCTGTTTGCCCCTTGCTAAATTGTCAATGAAGTGACAGTGTTTTCCACCAAGCACCATCAGAGGAGATACGAAAGACGCTGGAGTACTGCCTTTTATCCCCCCATTCTGTAAAAGGATACTGGAGTCCAGCGATTTCCCATCAGTTAACTCTATGAGCTTCTGTAACAAAAAAGGGGTCACTTCTTTGCCTGTGATCCCTTTGGACCTGCAAATATAAAGAAAATGCCTGCAGATGAGAAGGACTGAGCTGCAACAGCATCATAAGAGAAGCACTGTTGCTAGCAGATACTTTATCTCCATAACCACATACCATAAAAAGCACTGTAAACAAACAAGCTTTGGGTTAGATAAATCTACAGTTGAAAGTATGTTGTGGGCTCACCCATGCCCAAGGTTAAGCTGTGCTACAGCTCTTATAGCACTGTCTCTGAGTTTGTTTACTTTCCCAGGACCACTGGGTGAGCAAAGGATGAGGTGGAGGTTGCTTCTCACCTGGCTTCACTGAGAGCTTGCTGGATGGCCTCTTTGATGACCTGGCCTGAGGCAGCTCGCTCCTGGGGACAGGGAACTGCTATCAGCACCCCGCTGCTCAGGCCTAGCCCCAGAGCACTGTCTGGGAGAGGATGGGCAGATTGTTAGTGGTTCCCCTTGGATAAGTCAAGTGCTGAAGGAAAAGGATAGAGTAGAGTGGGTGCAGGGTGAAGAAACTCTCAGAGTTGGAGCTCTGGTTCTTAGCTGACCCAAGATCAGGGTCTTCTCCAGCCACCAACCAATTCACAGCTGCCTGTTTATTTTGAGTCTGTCTGTTCAGCAAATGGGGCAAGGATTTTTGTCTTTTTTAAACTGATTCCATTTCTGAAGGCCCAGAAACTGTTTTTGCCAACACATTAATATGTGTATTCCCTCCACTTCACCAGTGTGAAGAGAACATAAATGAATGAACATGCCAAAGTGGCTGCAGCTGGCTCGCAGTTTTACTTGCTGTAAAGACTGGACTTCCCTGCTACTTCATTTTCAAAGCACTTTTGAAGCAGGAATGGGGGAGGTGGAATAGTGTATTTTCTCCAGAGCTAAAGAAATTTTTCTCCAGAGTTAAAGAAAGTGCCTCATCCAAGGTGATTTTTGTGTCCCTCATTTCCAAGACCTCACATGGTCCTTTCCTGTCTAAAACACACCAATGAGTTTAGCTGCCTCTTCTTCGTCCCGGACATGATACGGTGCCTGGAAGCCACTCTGGCGTGAGAAGAAGGCTGGGAACTCTCTTGATTCTCCAAAGGCAGCCACGCAGACACCCTGAGTCTCCTGCAGCAGTGGAGGCGAGACAAGCAGGTAATCAGCAGAGGGAAAGGGGACCCAAGTAAAGAATGGGACTTTTTCCTTCTACCCAGAAAGAAACTGCCTTTCTTTAGCACTGGGCTTGGTTATTTTTATACATCCCATTCTATTCCACTCTCCCAACAACATATCTCAGAGCAAAGAGCCAGACATGGTAACTGCCTAGACTGAATCTGGCTTACTGAGAGAGGGGAGGCATGCACGTCCTTTGCTTGTGCTTGGAGCTGGTCAAAAGCCATGCAGCTGTCATTAGCACAACACTGAGTCCAAGGTAACACCCTGTGATCTGAAGATATGTCATGAGCTGACAGGAATATAAATGAGTTCTGTTTGCAATTGGGAAGTATTGATGCTGGCTGTCACCTGAAGTGTTGGCTCTGCTGGTTTCCAACATACCAAACTTTTAAAGGTGACTCTACTGAAAATCATCTGGATTCCCATTTTAATTCTGATTTTATTGTAGTGCTTGATGGATCTAGCTTTCCTCATCCATCAATTTCTGGGAGCATTCTCCCAGAAAATCAAGTTTAAGCCCAGAGAAAGAGGGCATGGCTAGCACTGCCTTTGACCTCAGTTGGAACAGCTGCCGGAACAGCCCCTTGGACATGGATAGATTTATGTTAGGGAGTAGCCAAGTGCTTGAACAGCCCCAGGACCATAGAACTGTAAATATGGTTTGGTGTACTCTCAGTAATAATTTCTAAAAGTCTTAGGCTTAGTACCTACCCTCATGCCACTGGTCATTCTGTACACAAAGAACAACATTATCTGCTTTCAGGCCCCGCTGCCCATGCTACCTACCAGATATTCCAGTGTCCTGCCAATATCAAGGATAGACTTGGCTCCTGCAGATACAACAGCAACTGGAGTTCGTCCTAGCTCTGTCAAGTCAGCACTCACATCCATAGCTGTCAGGGGACAAGCAGCCATCATGTTGGTGATTGTGTTTTATTCCAAGCTGATGTGACCTGCCCTCTTAAAAAGCTGTGTCTGCCTGGGATGCCACTGCCTGATTTTGTAACTGCTTAGATGCACAAACGTATTACAGGTTTAGATCATGCCTTTACGTGCTGAGATTGGAAGAGGTATTGACAGAAAAAAGTTACATGGCTGAGGGCAGAGGTGCAGCCTTGCACTGTATCTCTTGGTTCTGTGATCACATTGATAAAGATTATGCAAATCTTTGGTACAAAAGAAAGAAAAAGGTGTTATACAGCAAGGATGAAGTTCAAGGAGATGGAATACCACTGAAGGAGATCTTGAGTTTGGAACTGACATTGCTGGCAAAAAAAAAAAAAAAAGAAAGCATCACAAGAGCATTGCTGACCTCAGGAAACTTCTTGGTCTGGAATTCACATCACGACTGAAAGGAATGCCATACAGCAGGGCACTGCATTTGTGCTATGCTAGAAGTACATATGGCTGAGAGAATTCACCGAATTCACAGACTACACTGCCAAGACTGGGCCATTTTTTAAGAGAGGATTACACTCCTCTAATACAGACCAGAGTCTAAGTCTCTTTTGTGGTGAGACTCCCCTTCTCCTCATCTGGGAGAAGTTGATAACAACACTGTTCAGTAGCCAGTATCAGATTATCCAACTATTACAAAGAGGGAGAGGTGCAGTCAGCTCCTGTTGCACCAGCAAACAATATCCATATAACCAACCACATGTAAGCAAAGGATAAAGAGAAGCCTCCACCCTCTTAACAACTGGCCAGTGCTCAAGAGGAATATTTTGAAGCTTCTAGAAAGGAGATACTGGGGAGAAAACAACCATAGTTTGGTCAAGAAGGATAACTTTACTCTTCTGAACAGACAGTTACTGTAAGACAGACTGGGGAAAAGGAATAAGATGGAATTAAATAACAGCAACATACAGAAAAAATTATGTTCTTACTGTTCTCTCCTTCCCGATGGACACCTCCTATGCCACCTGTCACAAACACAGGAATTCCTGCTTTGTGTGCAGCAATCATTGTTCCAGACACAGTAGTGCCACCGGACAGGCCCTGTCAGGGAATACCCAGTCACAGTCAGCACCCAGGGTGACATGGAGAGAATACAGCATGTGGGCAGCAGCGGTCTGATGTGGTCTGATGCACAGCAATGTCACGACAGCCTGCTGTCACCAGCTGACCAGTGAAATTCTGATACAAATATTCTTTTGGGCAAAAAGGAAGGGAAGTCATCCACCGTCCCTGCTACATGAGCTGTTCTTGCCCTGATAGCAAAGGCGTTTGTTCCGCAGGGCGTTCCAACCAGAAGGTACCATGGGCAGCTGGTGTCACCTTTAGCTGTCACTTTGAGTTCCCGATGGCCTACGTGTCATGCAGTTTGCATGCAGTGTGACAATGCCTTATCGTGCCAATAAGAATATTCTTAGCTAAGTGTTCATGGATTGCCAGCCCACCCAGAATGACTTTTCAGGAGCCCTATTTGATGGCTGCTAGTCCCTTACTCTGTGGTACTTTCACTCAGGACCACATTTGAGCTTACCAGTAAGGTACTACTTTACATGATGTTTTCAAGAGGTTTAAAAGCAAAGCGGCTTGAACCTGGAGAGCAGCATACTAATGCCATGTAGAAAAGACTGCAACAGAAAGTCTGTATACTGTACCTGGCTGAGGACAAAAGGAAAATCTCTCCGAGACACTTTAACTGCATTTTTACTGCTTGCCAAGAACTCGAGTTCCTCGTCTGTAAGTCCCACGTGGATTTGGCCCCTTAAAATACCTACAGTGGCTGGCACTGCTCCGTTTGTTCTTACAGTTTCTTCTACCTCTCTGGCCATTCTAAAATGAGATGAACAAGGAACAGTCACAAACTGGGGAGGTAAACAATCAGGTAAGAAAACTGCCATGTTTGATGGCCATCACACCCAATTTTACAGTTCTTGTGGCTTCGGCCAAGTCCTGTTCCTCTTCTGTATCTTCATAATCTGAAGTGCAGAATCTTCCTAACTGCACTTGCAGAAGTGTAAAGCTCCCATTTTCAGGCCAGCAATGTCCAAGCTCTGTGCTTCAGTTTTAAGAAAACTTATTTGGTTTACAAGCAAACTTGGTTGTACAATAGACCACTGAAAATAGGGATCTTTTCAAAATAGGACCTTTCTGTATCTTTTACCTGTTATTCCTCTGAGGTCATAGATCATCACAGAAACCCCAGCTAATTTAAGCCCTGGTCAAATGACCAGGACATATTTTTTCACAATTCAGGCAGTTAGAGTAACAACAGTGCCAAAAAGCTGCTGCCTGAGGATACTTTAGGGCTGCAGACTAGGTCTTTTTATGTTTCACAGATTTTATACTTGATTATTCATACACTATCGTTTTTAAGACAGCTTCTTCTCCTTTTCTGAATTACTTGGACATATGCTAGGCAATCTTTAACTACTGAAACTACCTCTTCCCCAAAACTGAGTTTTTAGAGCTTCATTCTAAGACAGAATGTCAGGCAGAATAGTGGTCAGGTAAAAAGCAAGGTGAAAATCAATACCAAAACATTTCTGTGCTTTCTGAAAGGAAGGATGGATGGGAGAGTGCAATGTAACTCAATAAAACATAAGTCTACTGAACATCAATAAATAAAAGGTGGAGGTGGGGAGCTTTCCATGCAGGGTACAGAAGGCAGGGAGAGGGACCAGCAACTCTCACAGTAGCTGCTCTGAGTGGGCTAAGGAACAGATTTCCCTATTGTGTTTCAATCCCTTTTGCATTACAAAAGATACAGGAAAAGAAACTGCTGCAGAGTGTTTTCAATGTCTGCACAAACTGTGCAGCTGAAAAGGCTGGTAGCTGTCTTTTAGAGCAAGTGGTGACGTGTCCACATTTTAAAGGAAGAGAGATGTTTAATAACTCCCCATATATGTCCTTAAAAGTCCAAATACAATTGTTTTACACTTGAGCTCATATTCCTCATGCCTAAAAACCTGACATTTGCATTTGCTCTTGCAACGGCTTTGGCTGGACCAAGAAAAATGATACTAATCCACCAGTTATGTGCTTCATTCTTATAACTTTGTTGAACAAGGAACATCAAAAACCACCACCTCAGATTCAGAGGATAAGCCATGCCATGTGTAATGATGGTGCTTTCCAAGGCTACAACTGGTCTCCCCTCCATCAGGGCTTTCTGGACGGAGGGGTGAATCCTGACATAAGCACCTGGGCATAAACACAGAAAAGTGAGTTATTTGCATGGGTATTTGTAGTAACTAGAGAGCTGTTTGATAAAAGGCAAATTGTCGTCATCACAGCAAATTTATCCCCCTCTTCAGCAGTTCTTTGGGGTGAATTTACAAATAACTTCAAGAGGACCAAAGCTATGTTTTATGTAAGTGAAGTATTTGCAAAATATCTCTACTGTTAAGATGAATTATAATCCTCATCGCTATCAGTGAATGTTCCTCTGCCACCATTTTTGCACTTGTGTTGTTATTTGCTCCAGGAACATTGCTTGAGCATTATGGTGAGCGAACCGAGTCCTGCAACCATGCCCAAAGAGAGGGATATGTTTTATAAGTGGAAACACCAAGGATACCATAGTAACTCAATATATTTTAAGACTATCATACACCAAGACTATTGTCGCTCTTTGCTGTGGTCCCAGAACACTGCTGGCAAGGTCTCTGCTGCATTCAGATGAGGAAAATGCTTTCCATCCAGGAACTGTTTCAGAATACACTACTTACCATGCAGAAATCTTCTGACCTGGGTGGTCCCACATGCCATGGTGGACACCTGTCTTCCCAGGCTGGAGGTTATTTTCCTTATCATCTTGTGTATATGGATGGTCCTGAGATAACGGAAGTCAGGTAAAAATGAAAGATGTAATTTAGCAAGGATGTTACCTGGTGAAGCTAAACATGTCAACTCTTGCCTTGACCTTAGAAAGGTAAACAACCCTTGTCCAGGAGATTGCCTTGAGTTTCCTGGTGTTTCAAGCATGAGCCAGTGTCAAAGGAAAATGTTAAACTGAAGAAATAGAGTTACAAGGAGTCACCTGGCCCATTGTCAATGCTGGGCTGAAATCGTAGTAGAGCAGAGAAAAGGATGAGAAGCAAAAAACTAGGGAGAATTTTGAAGTAGGCAAGCTTTTAAATTCCAAAGCGACTTGCTCATGACTGATTTCAGGCTCAGCCACTGCCACCTCCAACATGAAAGATCACATGGAGAAATCTACAAGGCAGAGTAGAGCTACAGAAATATGAATCTGTTATTTTGCCGGTGTCTAGAAGAAAATAAGGAGTTCAGAAAGGAGCTGAGAACTGGCAAATTAGACTGGAACTGCAAAGAGGAAAGAGCAGCTTTCCCCAGAGCCGGGAGTGCTTTATGTAGGCTCAGGTTACATCATCCTTCTTAGTGCAATGCCTTGGAAGCAGAATGGCAATTCAGCCCCAGCAACAAACTCCAGAACTCCTCTGGTCTCTTAGCAACTCCTTTTCACTTTAATTAAATTCATTCCCAAACAGAGAAAGAGGGGGAGAGAGCTGTAAATGCTAAGAGAGTGGTCTGGGCCAGGCCTAGGGGCAGTTTCACTTAATGCCTGGCTGCTTCACATACTTTTCCTGGGCATTTAACCATATCCCTTCAGTCTCTCTATTCCTTACCCCTTCACCAGGAGGAAAGGATTCTCTTCCTCAGTCCCTTGTACCTATTGTTAATTTAGATGGAAAATTAAGTAAAATACAGTACAATGTTCATGTTACACTGAGCAGAACATGGCTCCGATCTCAGTACAGTGTGTGGCATTACAGTTATACAGAAAATTCTTATACCCACGAAGAGTATATTTGCCCCAATCTAAAGACTTCAGCTATACAGGACAGCTTGGGCTGTGTTACACAAGATAAGTGGCACCGGATCAACTCAACACAAGACACACCTGACTGAAACACTCAGATTTTCTACTTTCCAAATTCTTAATAGGGACAAAAAAAAATCTTAATGAAGTTTATGTAACCATGCAAGGACAAAAAAAAAAAAAAAAAAGTGACAAAAGCTCTTACTTCATGCTTACAACTTCAGTCTGTGCAGTGCTAAGCTCAGTAGCCTGGGCAGTTCATGGGCTCATGCCAATGTTCTGGCATTGCTGTTATGTGTGCCTACACAGCCCTTGCTCTCTGGGGTAAAGTCAGCTTTGGAATAAATTCATTAAGGCTACAAGGTTACGCCAAGGATTGGTTGAGCTGCTGGAGTTGTGCTCTGAATTTTAACAAGCCCCCAAACTCTGAAGCACAACAGCCAGGAGTGCCCAAGCTGTGCTGCCTGGTGGATAAAAACCAGCTGGTCACCACCTGAAACCCAATTCGGCTGAAGTGATATCCACTGGAAACTCAGCCAACACTCAGCCTGAGCTGGCTCAAAGATTTTCGAGGCTTGGCAAGTTCTGCTGCAGCAAGACCCGTATGGCCTTTTGCCTCACAACCAAACTGCAGATTCGCAGTGCAAGTTTCAGGCAGCTCTAGCACGGACCGGCTCTCCTCTCCTTCCTCTTCCAAACCTGTTCCAAATCCCTACTTGTGTCCCCTGTGATCGATCCAGTGTATCTGACCTCACGGAGCAGTGGCCTGGTGTGTCTCTTACCTCTGGGTGTCCGTCTGGTGGAGGGAGGCTGGGTGGGTACTGGAGCAGTGCCTGGGCAGCCTGGGAGGAGGCGGAGGAAGGGGGGCGGGCAGCGCATGGGGGTGCGCAGGCCAGGACTTCTGGCCAAGAGAGTCTATTTATTATTAACCACAGGCACAGCTGAGCTCCTCAACTGCTCCCTGCCTGGGGTGCAGGGGGCCATTTCATGGCTTCTGTGATTATTTTCGTTCACACAGAGCCAGATTTCCCCCTTGCTCTTTAAAAGCCTTTTCTCATTTTTCAGATTCCTTTGCTATTAGATTTTTTAAAATCAGTGAATTCCTTGCTCACTAAAACAATGCCTTTGCAGACTGAGCCATTTTGTACCCATGCCTAAAAAGCAGGGGAATCACATCCATGCCTCCCCCAGAACTTTGCCAAACGCAGCTGTTAAAGCTCTTCCTTCTCAGTGTAAGAGCTCTACCCAGTTCCTGGCCTCCCCAGAGAGGAAAGCTGTAGGTCTAAAGATAGTTGAGGCCACATTTTGCATGATGCAGACACCTGGCGATGCCAAGAATACAAGCTGGGTTCACAGCAAAAAGCTACTGTAGTCTCCTCCTGTAAAGACAATCCATTCCATCAGTTCTAGGGCAGCTTTGAACAAAGACTTTGATAAATCTTTGTCCCCTCATAAAAAAGCCATGATACTTTGATATCTAATGCAGTGGTATAGTGCATGTTTCAGTTTTATATTCCACTGAAAATATCTGAGTTGAGAGCTAAATGGCCACGAAGGAGTTGATTTACGGGATAAAAGACAGACATGATTCCATGCAGTGTCCATGCATAACATAAAACTAGCTGAAGTAATTGCTAATGTATTGCTGAGGTAATCATTGTCAAGGAACTGATTTTACTGCAATCCATTAATCAGGAAATTGTAAAACATAGGTTGTTAAAGAAGTATTTGCACTTTACACTTGTCCATTTCAAAAGAGATTTCCTGCAACTTTTGTTTAACACAGTGGTAACAAATGGTGTCTTATTTTCTATGTCCTTCCAATCTCTTCAACTAAACACTTTCAAGGAAACTTCAAACAAAACTTGCTGAGTTACAAAGACAATCCGCCTCTGACTTCTGTTACCCAGTCTGGAAGGAATTTAATTGCAGGAATGATAGATTGCATCCTCAGATGCCATAAATGGATGCTGAAGATTTTGTGAACAGTATCTTTTTCCTGGGGGGATGGGTATTGTAAAGAAAATGTGTCGGTAAAATAACATTTTTGAAAAAAATACACAAACTATAATGACATCATTTTATTTTCCATTAAATCTGCAGTATTCCAGGAATCTATCTGGACCACCCCATTATTAACATGCTATCAGGCAAGATGATTTAGTAACCAAGCCAGTCACTTAGTTTCCAACTCTCATCATCTTGAGATGATCTTATGCAATGGGCACTGCAGTTCAGCCTGTCAGATAAGTCAGGAGTAAGAATGTGTTGCTTGATTTGCCATTTTTCTCCTAAAACCCAGTGGAAAATCAGCCTGTTGAGTTCCTCACTCAGCCTTCCAATATAAATTTGTAGGTCTCTGAGAAAAAATAGGGCTGCTCACGCAGCTCTCTGAGGGCACTCCTGTGATCTAGCACATATCCTAGGTTCTGGAATTGTGCCCAGCAGGCTTCTGCAATGTGATAAATGGCTGATGATGGTTTGGGAGCAGTCAGGACTACAGTGTGTAGGTGAGAAAGGAGAGAAAGCCCTGGAGAACAGCTGGAGACAGGTTTGTATGGAACCGTGGGGCAGTGTGCAACTTGCTCCTCTGCTTGCTGCAGTGTTAGTTGGCTTCCCAGTCCAGTCTGCCTGCAGTGACCCACAGCTGGCTGCTGGTACTTCCCCCTCCGGGCCTCAGAAGCAGAAGTTAATATTAAACAGGTTGCTGGGTAAAATGGGAGTGGTTGGGAACAAAGAAATTGCCATGGCAAATTCCTGCTGCCTGCTGGGAGCTGGGCCCTCGGGCCACCCTTGCATTTTCATTCCTGAGTGATTCCCACAGCAGTTACCATCTCCCCTGAAACCTTTTGTCTCTCAGGGCCCTCACTACCCAAGGCATTAGGCAAATGGGAAGCTCTACATTGCTATTGTCACGTCTGCCATGGGACAGGATTTTCCTTTCCCTGTGTACCAGCTTTCTGAGAGTCTATTAACAGTGGTTAGGCTGGAATTTACTTACTGGTGTTTCTCTGTTGTAGAAGGTTGCTTCTAGGCTGCCAGAATCCAGAAGAGATACTAAGGACACGCAGAATCATAGAGAACACATTTAACCATTTATTTCTTTTACCTTTGTGAGAATGACAGTGCTTGGAACTGCCTGTCTTACCAGGGCAACAATCTAACCAATATGAAGGTCTGACAAGGTTGCTCTTTAGCGATTTAACCTCTTTAATTGTCTCACATCCTTCCACTTTCATCAGTGGATTTTCATGATCATTCTAATGGATCCAAAATAACTTTCCAGATTATCTTAATGGCTTGAAAGTATTTGATTCCCCCCCACCCAGTATGAAGTATTTTTTTCCTCCAGCTGTTTCTAACAGAATGCAAGACTGAACATACATACCTGGTGCAGTTTTTGAACTTTTGTTTCAGTGCTGAACATTGTAAATTCAGTTTCACAAATCTGTATTATGAGAAAGCCTGGATGTTCAGTGGAAAACTAACCCATAAGAAGTGGGAAGACCTTTTAAGAAAGTTCATATCAAAAAGAAGAAACTTATTTTCTGCACCCTATTCCATCACAGAGCATTTTTCACACAATTTTTCATACAAACTCCCCACCACTGATAACCTCAGGAGCAGTCTGCTGCTCCGAACTATCAGTGTTGCACAGAGAACCTGGATCAAGGTCTTTGTCTGGGTGCTCCTTGTCTTGGGTAAAGGTTGGTCTTATACAACTAAGTTCATTCAAAGAACTAGACATCTCTGTGCCCAGATCTGAATCCTATGAAGCTCAGCTTCTAAAAGCCTTTTTTTTTTTTTTTTTAATACATACATGTATCCTTGTTTGAAGTCTCTTAACACTGATATGTATATTTCACCTCCTTTTAATTCAGAGATGTGTTTGCCCACAGGTCTGGACTCTGCGTATTCCAGAAAATGCCAGCAAGCATTCCCATTGCCTCATTCCTTAGGTCTTTCGAGGGCACTCAAGTCACTGTTTCAAGGTCATCTGAGAACAGATTTAACTCTTCTCTCCTGTCCATTGCACTTCCTAAAGTCTGGCCATCTTAGGATGGTGTTCTACTGCCTATTTTTAAAGCAAAGGCTTGATTTCAGTATTTTCTGGAGTGACTGATAGTTTGATGTGCGATTTTTAAAATGATTTTCAAGGAGGGAGGCAAAACACCAATAACACTTCACGGACAGACTTCCCCCTTCACCTCGCCCTTACACCCCTGCTTGTCACTGTCTTTTTGGGGAGCGCTTAGTGCTTGGCTCAAGACTCCTGTCAGTGAGAAGCCAAGGACATGACGTGGATTGGGCAAGCAGGAGTTTCACAACCAGGATTTATTACAGAATCGGTGTGCTCGGGAGGGACCATGGCGGGTCACCCAGTCCAACCTCCCTGCTCCAGCCGGGTCGTCCTGGAGCACGTGGCACAGGATTGAGAGCAGATGGTTCTGGAACATCCCCAGTGAGGGAGATATCACGGCAGGA